GTATTGTACTAACAATATATATTAATATAATATATATATATAATAAAAATTAAGTAACGTACATTTTTCTCTTTCTCTCTCACACTCACTCCGCTCTATTCTAATATACTCTATGAATATCGTTTCAACTAGTTATAAATGTATGTAAATTTAACGTAAAAAGTCCAAGTGTTTAAATGAAAAATTGAAAAAAAAAAACAAATTTATAATTAGAAAAAAAAAAATGTTGCGCATAAATGAAATTTTTTAAAAAAGAAAAACAGTTATTAATTTGCGCATAAATCTTATATTGTATTTGATTCGTATATGTATTAATTTTATTTACATACATATATTATATACAAGCATACGTACACACGTGCGTGTAAAGTAAATGTCTACAAATATTGTATTTACCTACCGATATACATACATACATACATACATACAAGTATATACTAAAAGCCACGATATGCACTCGTAAATGTATACTAATTAACTATTAACTTACATACATATACATACATATGTACGTCGGTGTGTAGCAAATTTTCAAAGCAAAAAAAAAATATTTATCGAAAACGCACTTTGTGTTAGAAAACGCATGAGAGATTGATTGAAAAAAAATCAAAAAAAAAAAAAAACAAAAACAAAGAAACAGAAACAGAAAGTTACATAAGCAGTGCGCAAATATTTGATGACGCAGCTGGGCGTTGGTCCAGCAAGCTGTCGACTGTCGATCTAGCGAGGATCTGCAAACAATTTAGCAATAATTCTAAAATGACCTCAATCAAATATTACAACTAGTTATATTTTTAAAATATATATACATATATTTTAATAAAAATTAAAAGTAAATAAATTATAAATAAAAGAAAAATAAATAAAAATTACAATTAAGTGAAGCGCAAAAAATAAAACTGTAAATAAAATATTGAAAAATAATTGCAGAAAGAAAAATTGATATTAAATAAAAAACAAAAAATATGAAAAGAAAACTTAAGCTTAAAAGAGCAGTGGCGCCTACAACGCAAATGCAATGAAAGAAAACTTGCAACTAATATAATAGTTAGTACAGCCACAGCAACCAAACAAACAAAAAATGTCTCTCGATCGAACGAAGTAAGAATGTGATATTTTTCTAAGCCACAAGCAACCGATAATGATTTTTAATAAACAAACTTAAAATATTAATATGTAATATTGTATAAGCAAAAGTGAAGCAAAGTGTTAATTAAAGTCAGTAAGCAGTCCAAAAGTGGTTATAAAGCAGCAAAAAAAAAAAATACACAACTCAAATATTTCAAGTATTTTCAATTACATAGTTACCAAAAAAACACATAAAAACATAACGTTCGTAACGTTTCAGCAATGAAACGTTTAAGCAATAGCCAAGTCAATAGCAAGCGTAAACTATAGAATTAACAGAAAAAGTATAAACTAAAACAAAAACAGGCATGAAACCACAAAACAGCAATAGAGACTGATTTTAACACTATGTAAACAGCAATAAAAATAAAAACAATTTTTTATTAAGCAAAAATAAATTTAAAAAATGCAATAAATTCACCATTAAAACTAAAAAAGCATGCAATGAACGCTTAACTCAATAATATGCAATTTTCAAAAATTATATAAAACGCAAACTTTTCACAAAACACCAACTAAAACGCAGTAAAAAAGATTAAAAATAAATTTTAAAAAAATGCAATAAGATTATATAATTTTTGAACCTTCAAATAAAAAACTGTTTACTGCAACAAAAGCGCCTTATAAAATTAGGTTTAACAAAATAATATTTGAAAACAAAACAAATTTATGCACACAAAACCCCAAATTATTTAGAACTTATACAATTCCACTTAGTTGAACTATTCTATTATTATTATTTAAAGAATGTGCGGAATTGGAACAGTAGTTACGTGTATGCTTAGTAAAAACCTAAAAAAAAAAGGAACGAATAACATAAAGAGTGAGAAAAAGAACGTAGTAAATGTTAAGCAATGCGAAAACGAAACGAAAGTAAAAACAGTAAATTATATAGCGAATAAGCGAAAATGGCAATGAGGAGTTTAAGAAACAACTAGTATTGGAACATATGTACGTATTTTAGGTATATATGCATTGTACAGGTGTGTAGATGGTGTGGACGTTAGGTTATTTGTATAGATCAGGTATAAAATTGTGCGAAACGATTAAAAATCGGATAATGGTTAGGCTATTTTTTGTGATAGATTAGAGAGGAAGGTAAAGAAGAAACAACGGTTAGAGAATATGTATTAGCATGATTGTGAGAATTTATAGGTATAAGTAGCGGAAATTGGTAAAGTATGCAATAAGATTAGAAGAGAGAGAAGAGTGGAAATTAGGGCTTGTTACATGACATAGACGTAAAAGGCGCTGAATTCTGAAACTGGAAGTTACGATTCAAAGAGAATTGCAAGCAACAGCTATGCTAGGCGATTTGAAAGCAAAGATTGAGACGAGTTTGGTCGATAATTTCATTAATTTATTGCCAAATGTGAAAGGTATTGGAATTATGATAGAATACATTTTTAAGCTTTCCCTCTTACTACATTAAATTTGATACTACATAATATTAAAAAAATATATATTAAAGAGCTTTTTATGCTTCTTTTAGATAACCCCTCTAGAGAAAGACTTGATTTTCTTCATTTTTTAACATCTAAAGGTAGAACTACATATATTTCAACGTTATATAATTCACTACTTCAATATTTTTGCATTTGCCAATTCACTTTAAAAATTTCCACAAAGTCTCCAATGCTGAGAACATAAATAAAAAACAGCTGATGAATTTATTATTACTCCATTTAGCGATCAAACTCGACCAAACTCAATTAAAAGTGAAATATTTAAGCGTTAGAAGGAGGAAGGAATTTTTATTCAAACGGGATAGGTGCTATGGACAAAGACGTAAACAATGTGATAATGTTGTAAACTTAATTTAACTAAATTTTTTTATGAAAGCATTTTTGTTGACGTTGAAAACAGTAAATTAAAATTCTAAATTCAGTAAAAATACAAAACCAACTACAGTGGAACTGCTTAAACTGCTAACATACTTGTACACACACACACACATACATGAAACTACTGCAATGCAGTACTGGAAAAAGTTTTCTTTCATAAAATGTTTAAAAATATTAATTTGAAAATATCTATTTAAAATAGATTTGCAGGCGTGGACATGTATGAAAAGAAACAAATAAATGAAATTAACTAACAAAATTCCAAATTTAACTATTGTAAGAATTACAATTAAAATTAAAAGAGTTTAGAAAGTAAAGTCAAAACAAAATTTAAAATCTCTAAATTTAAGCTTTTGGTGTTTTAAATGAATAAACAAATCAAAAATGGATCAAATTAAATATTTTAGGCTATTAAAATGAATGCGAAAAAAATTTATATTTGGATAAAGTAAAATTTAAGTGAAAAAATTGAAATTAAGCCGAAAAAAATTTTAAGCAAATCTCGATGTTTTAACTTAAGCAAAAGACATACAAAAAGTAAATTTTAAACAACTTTTTCGGCATAAACAATTTATATTATGGCCACTAAAAATTAAAGAATTAAACAACACATACACGTGCACAAACACACACACATGAATATACACCCACCCAAACACGCGTAAATATTTAGCTGAACAAAAATTAAAAATTATTAGAAATTCAATTAAGAAATTAATGCGAACCTCTTTCACTTTCGTGTCTTTTACTCAGCAAACAAAACAAAAGTTAAATTGACGTATGTAAAATCTTAAAAAAACAAAGAATATGTAACACTTAAATCTCACACGCACACACACACCGACACAAAAGTCAAAAGTCAAAAGTAGAAAGAAACAAGTAAGAACATTTTTTTAAATAAAATAATTTATGTATGGTATGAGCAAATTAGTAAAAAATCAAAAAACAGGAAAATGTTTCAATTCCACCGGTCCATAATTTAGTGTTAATTAAAGCTTTCTTTTAACACGCTACAAAACAATTACTGATGAATTTTACAATTATTGAATATATTGACCGAAGTGTAAAGATCCAAACAATAAATAAATATTACAAAAACATGAAATTAAATGCCTGCCACAGAAAGACAAAACTGTAAAAAATAAACACAAAAATATAAGAATTATATGAATGAATACAAATAATTCAATTATTCCGTTCCAGTTTATTGCAAACAATTACGAAAATCTTTAAGTTCTTTAAACCGTAACTAATTTTACAACAACAATATATAAACGTTGTTTTTCGTTTTGTAAAAAATTGTAAGAACTAAAGGACAAACAAAGTTTCGAATTCAATTGAATGTCAAATAAATAAAAATAAATAAAAGAACTACCATAAAATGTACACACCTAACAGTTATTATGAAACTGATACAAAACACTAAATAAATAAATAAAACAGACAAACAAAATGTATACATACATACATGGAGTTTTATATATGTACAAAAAAGAAACAAATTGCTTTTATTAATTGGCGAAAGAAGTGGTAAGTTTATAAGAGTACATAGGTACATATGCATGGTCTGGCGAGGTCAGGCGATACGAGAGTTAGAAAGACACGCGCAAGTAATTAAAGTAAAACAATAATAGTCTAGTTATCTATATAAAATGTCTTCAACAATTTCTGTGTAGAACGGAAAAATCCTGTCTCGACATTCCTAATGAAAATGTCAACTTCTAAAGATACACATCAGAACTATGTGTTATAAAATTTCGCACGAATTGCCAATTTGTCTGATAGTTTTTCGAAAAAGAGACTTTCAAATGCTTGTCGATACAAAAATAAGCATTATTCTTATATAGATATACATATATTTATAACCCGATTTGTGGTTTAGCAATTAACCTCAAGCTGACTGCGATTTCTTATAAGTATTATTCAAGTATTTTACTTTGAATTTAAAATTAGTTTTAAAATACAGAAGTGAAGTGAAATTTACTTCCTCTGTTCAAAACGTTTAAATACTTGTATCAAAGAAAAAGTGTTTGCTAAATATTTTTTTTAACTTTTATAATTACTATAAGTTTAAATTTTTACTGGCATAAAAAACATTATCTTTATATTTTTATGTTAACATCTTAAATTTCCTGTTTTCATAAAAAATATAATACCTATGATTTAGTTAAGTCATGAATAAGTTTAAATAAGTAAACATTAAATTGGAGATCAAGTTACAGTCCGGCAAGGCAGCCAATTGTCAAAGTAGAGAATTGAAAACAGTAATTGGGCAGCACTTTTCGTCAAATTCGGCTAAATTTGTCAAAGTGTATTAACAATAATAAACACACAAAAATAATAATATTATATTTTATAATCTAAGTTAATTAGTATTAAGTGAAATAAATAAATTTTAGTGTCACACATAAACATTTCTTATAAATAACTTTTTATAAGTTTTAATGAGCGCTTGTCACTGAACAGCTGGCGAATTTACATTTCTCCAATTCTCCAAAAACTGCTGGTTTCATCTGCGTGCTGGAATTTTTCATTGACAATAAGAATTTGTTTATTTATAAAAATTTTACACAGATTTCAACAAACTATCTACGTGTCTGCAATTAACTGCAGACGCAAAATAAAAGTTACTTGTATTCCAAAAATGGCAGAAGGAGGGAGTTGCAGTAACACCAGTGCCGTAAATGGTGTGTGCATTGAAAACGGTGGTGAGTTTCAATGCTCCTATAAAAGTAAAAGTCAGTTTAATTTTCATTTCACATATTTTAGCGGAATCCCCCACTACGGATGAGCAGTGGCGTGGTTGTTCGATGGAAGAAATACATCGCGGCTTGAATGAATTCGAATTAGAACATGTACCGGCCGTGCGTCCCAGTGAAACGCATACAGTGCTTTATCATTGTCCTATACGTGAGCCCGACAATGTGCCACCACGTCCATTACGAGCGCATCACAAGTGGGATGCCACACATGTGCGCCTGCCTTGTTCCAGTAAAAGTCAATATCCAGTTACAGCGGCAGATGGCAGTTCTACAATAGAAGCGCGTTGGGGAATGATTGAGAAAGCTTTACTGCAGCCTATTACTAACAGTAAGGAATTGCAAGCGGCTATACTTTCTTACAATACAAAATATGAAGGACAGTGGAATTTTCGTTCACTACACCGTCTTTTTGAAGATGATTTAGATGAGAGTGAAGCGCGTGTATTTTTCGAAGATTTGCTACCACGCATAATACGACTGGCGTTACGTTTACCTGAATTGGTGCAAGCGCCTATTCCTTTGCTCAAGCAAGGTCAGAATCATTCAGTGACATTGTCGCAACAGCAGATTTCTTGTCTCTTAGCCAATGCGTTTCTCTGCACGTTTCCCAGGCGTAATACTATGAAAAAGCGCTCAGAGTACAGCACATTTCCGGATATAAATTTTAATAGGTAATAGGATATAAAATACAAAAAAAATGTTGAAACATATATTATAAGTTATTTTTTTTTACTTTAGGCTTTTCCAAAGTGGTGGTAAAGCAGTTATAGAAAAAATTAAATGTATCTGCCATTATTTCCGACGTGTATGTCCAACAGAACGTGATAGCTCTAATGTACCCACTGGTGTCGTGACATTTGCACGTCGTAGTCTAGAACCCGCAGATTTACCCAACTGGGCCGAATGTAAAGCACCCTTGGGTGTTACACCTTTACACATCACTGCTGATGGTACTATTGAAGATCAGGGCTTTGGTTTGCTGCAAGTTGATTTCGCCAATAAATTCCTTGGTGGCGGCGTACTCGGCGGTGGTTGTGTGCAAGAAGAAATACGTTTCGTAATTTGTCCTGAACTGCTTCTAACCAAATTGTTCACAGAGTGTTTGCGTCCCACAGAGGCACTATTGATGGTTGGTGCTGAGCGCTATAGTGATTATAGCGGTTATGCAAGCACTTTTGAATGGGCTGGTAATCATGAGGATTGCATACCACGCGACAGCTCAAGACGTCGTCAAACACATATCGTGGCTATTGATGCGCTCCATTTTATGCAATCACAACATCAATATCGGGAAGATCTTATAAAGCGCGAATTGAATAAGGCGTATGTGGGCTTCCAACACACGTTAATCACACCGGCACCAGGTGTGGCTTCAGGTAACTGGGGCTGTGGTGCATTTGGCGGCGATCCGCGGCTGAAGGCATTACTGCAACTAATGGTGTGCACCGTAACTCAACGACCGCTTGTATATTACACGTTTGGCGATGCACAATTGCGTGATGAAGTACACCGCATGCACACATTCTTGCTGGAACATAATGTATGTGTAAAAGATTTGTGGAATTTGCTCACTAGCTATCAAAGTCAAAATATGGCCGGCAATGAATTGTACAACTTCATCTATGGTTGCATTAGTAACACATTAAAGGTATGATTATACAGAATTAACCCCGCCCTTAAGGCACAAATGTTCAAATTTAATTTCCAACACTTATTTTGTTTCCAGCGCAGTCCGAAGACGAAGTTGACGTCACCAAAGAATAAAACTATGCGTAGTTTATTGACAAGTTGGTTGAAGCCGAAACAAACCAGTACTAAGGAGAAGCCAATTTCCGCATCAGCGCCACGGCAAATCAATTTGAGTGAAGATATTTTTGCCTCCACTTCTGAGTCAGAAGTAGAAGCGAACGAAGATGCGCCTGCAATCACCATATCCTCAACCAGTACTTCGGTGAGCCCGCCAGAAAAAAAAGAAGAAGAAGCTAAGAATACACCAAACATCACTACTGTAGACCTTACAAACCAATCACAATCAAACGATAGTGTTGCTAATGTGTTGAATAGTGAAGAAGTTGTACTTGATAGTGTAGAAAACGCGCGTCCAGAAACACAAATAACGAATAGCAAATATAATAATTCAATGGAAAAGCAATTGGGAAAATCGAATGTTTCGCCGCCGTCTGAGAAGCCCACAAGTTCGCGCCAACGTTCGCTGCTAGAAATGTTAGACCAATGTTATACAACAAAATCGAATAGCGGGCCGGAAACCAAGCGTATATGCCTAAGTAAAATCAGCAAACCGAACACAAAAACACCGACAAAACAACAATAATGGTTATATACATACATATGAAATTTTACACACAAAAAAATAGCATGCATTAATGCATATTTTGTACTTTAATAGATGATTAAAAATTGTAAACTATATATATTATATATATAATTGCCTAGCAAAGAAGTGGTTAACGCATAATTACAGCAACAATTAAAGGGAGATCATGCAAGTATTAGTGCTAGAGCAAAAAATGCCTTATATACATACATATATATACAAATATATTTTGATTCGAGCACCGGTGCATTATTGAAAGCTTTCGCTTGTGTGAATGACGTCTTCGCTAAATTTGTGTCGCGCAATAACAACAACAACAATCATAACAAGCGCGTACATCGCAAACAAAGAGCATTGCACTCCTGCACAATTCGCTAAAAATAAATGCATACGGCAATGTAAGAAACGCGACTGCGAAACATGTGCGCCTGTTATTGCCGTTACACGATGCACTTGTGTACACAACATGTTGCTTGCCAACTTACGTAGTAAGTAGCGCGTCGTTGTTGCGTAGCGTGTAGCGTTCGAGAATACACTTGCAACTCAAGTTTTTTTGTTTATACCGGCCAGAATGTGTTGAATGTTAACTTAATTTATTTAAATATTGTAGTTTGTTATGACTGCCTCGAAGTGTATGTATGACGGCGTGAAGTGTGCATAATCAAGTGTCTGTTTGTTAAAATTAAATGTTTATTGTGTTGTTAAATAAAAGTTTGTTTACTATCATCTTAAATATAATATAACAATATATTTTGCGGCGATTATAATGTTTATTTGTATGCATGCAGTCTTACTATTGGCGAAAAGCTATGGTGATGCTTAACGAGTTGTAATAAGTAGTTGCGTAAACCTTTTTATATCTTTTGAGTGATTTTTTTTTTCATTTTTTCACTTTTGTTATTTTTATCTTTTTTGCTATAATTAACTAATAAGTGCAATAAAGCGTACCGGTTGTTTTTATCAAGTCAAGGAAAATTAAAAATTTCCAAAATCCAAACATTAATTATAGACGTGAATAAGCGCTTTCTTTGCAATTTGCGTACGCGTGCATCGGCATGATTTCATTCGCAGCAAAACCAGACCAGTCGGGGCGTCTGCTGATATGAATTGCCAAAAATACACGTTATCAGTGGTTTTCACGCATAAGAGTATTGACTGTAATTATTCCCGCTCAACTTTTAATCTGCGTGATTGGAAATAAATAAAAACGCAATTCACCGTAATTATAATATTTAATAAATTTTTATTACCATCACGAACTAAGCGAGCTATGTCAGACATCAACATCATCAAGGTCAAATTATGCAGCACATGACTAACATTAAATGAAAACAAGAAAAAGGTTATCTTCAGCTGCATCGTAGCTATAATAACCTTCACCGGTGCATTTCTTATAGCATAAAAGGATATAAAATATCTTTATCTTGATTGATTGGTCACTTTGTATGGCTGCCATAAGCTATAGTGGTCCAAATATATTCGGAGAATGTAGCGTTGCCTTGGACAACAATCTATGCTAGATTTTTGAAAGATATTTTGTCAAATAACAAAGTTTTCCATACAAGGACATGATTTTAATCGTTTAGTTTGTATGGCAGTAATGTATATGCTATAGTATCCGATATCGGCGGTTCCGAGAAATGAACGGTTTATTGGGTAGAAAAGGACGTGTGCAAACTGTCAGTTCAATATCTTAAAAACAGACGGACATGGCTAAATCGAGTCTGCTAGTCACGCTGATTATCGTTGCAAACTTAAAATACAGAGTATAAAATATAAAGCATGTTGGTTAAAGCAGCGAATAGAATTGGAATTACAAACGATAATTATTTATGAGGTGGGTTTAAAAACTGGCATGTAAAATATTTATATATATTTATAAACAAACTCACATATGCATATTTTCAGATGCATATTGTATATATATATATATACATATATGGTTTGTATATATGTATGTATATGCATTTGAATATTTATTTTAAATAATGCTCATCTTATTGAATATTAATTTATTACTTATAAAATATTCAGTCACGTTACTTATTATTTCAGACATAACACAAGAAACATTGTAAATTTTAATTTAAAATATTCATCGAATCACATCAAAATATCATATATACATCACATCACCTTTTCCATAAAAATTTAAGAAAAAAGACAAACAGAGCACTGCTAAAAAGATAAGCAAATTACTATTTAATTATTCTAAACACATACCTGCAAATATATACAGGCAGCTAGTACTCAGATATTATCATAAATAATATGAATGTACCGCCATAAGCTTATCAGATTCTTGTAAGTACGCGTTTACGTCAGCAGAAGTCTGTAAGCCCAAGCTGTAGGCGAACTATATTTAGCTGGTTCGGGTTGGAAAGCTGGTAAAGTATTGTATTAAGTATTTTTAAAATAAATCTCTATCATACAGCGTATTAGCGCTATTGCTTTTACTCCAAATATTTTTGTTCTTGATCTGATAAAATTTTTGTAACTGTACAGGTTAAAAGAAACTACTGATTTATTCGATTTTTATTAGTTCATCTTAAGGCAAATGGACATGGATTCATATCTGGCCTATAATTGTAATGTTGGTAATATTTCCGTAATTATTCGGGGAACATTTCATCTGTTACAACAACAACAACCTTGTTTTTCACTTGTTACATAGTGAATATAGATATCTCCGGAATTCGTAATCTGTATTTACATTAACTTTGTAAAGATTCAATAGGATTTTCTGCTTCTAAAACTAAAACAACTATAAAAGATCATTATAGAAGCTCTTTTTGTGAATGTTGCAAAAACAATAATTCAACTTTTATATAATTCTTGAATTCCAGAAAATTGGAAGGAAGTATACATTTTGTTTGAGCACCAAAGACTGAAAACCAAATATTCAGAAATAGTAAAAATTATGTTTTTATACATATTTATGAAGTAATAGTGCTCTAACAGACAGTTGTAAACTCCCTCAACTGTTTCAAATTATTTTTTAATTGATGCTCAAAGGCCGAAGCAATATCTGCGATGAAAGGCGAAATTTTTAAACTGAGTTTATCTGAAAAAATATTGAATAGCTACCTACAAAAAAATATATTTTTTAATATCGTTCGAATTCAAATCTATTCTTTTTATAATTTGAAAGACTTATAGCTCTATTAGAGTTTAATATCAAGATAAAAATATTTAATAGCTAACATATTGTAGTGTTAATTAAGCCTAGAGTACTCAAAAAGGCATAACTTTGACAATTTATTCGATGAGTAACGAAAATAAAATATCTGGATATATGTTGATATGTGTTAGTCTTCGAGTATTATTTGTGTCCGAAATAGAAAAATGCATTTTCGAAAAAATGTGTTTAAAGCTTCACATGTTGAGCTGACTGACTCCAATGCTTTGATCTACCAATCGACTAAAGTTTATAGGTTCCTAAGCTGTACTTAAAGCAAAAAAATACATTAATTTTTTTTTTAATTTAACTTTGAACTAGCATTACAATCAATTAATGTTTTTAGGTCCCTATTTAAAGCAAAAACAAAAACAAAAAAGACTGATTCTCAGATTCAAGACTAGTTCGCCTTTTTTAGTTTTTCATCTTACTTAACTACCCTTTGAGTGAAAGAAGCAACTCTTCTCCAAATTCAAAACATTTCGTTTACTAGTTTTTCCATTGCTTTCAACCCAAATTCCTCCTTCTTTAAATAAAAATATTTTAATTTTAATCTAACGCCAGGTTCATATTCATTAACTCTGACGCTGCGCCAATAACAGTATTTTTCTTATGACAATTGCATCCCAAAATAGTTTCAATTCATTAAATATCGATTATATTGTGTAAACGCATAAAGTCTGCTTTATCTAAACAAAGTTCAATGTAGAATCTCAAACATGTGACGCACGAAGCTTCTGTACTTCATTAATTGAAGCATTGCAGGGCAGCTTTAACAGCTTTTTCTGCTCCGACGCCATTAGCTTCTTCAATTTAATCCATTATACTTCTAGCAGTGGTGTAATAAATTGTAAAACAATAATAACAATAACAGCGCTTAAAGTACAAAGTTTACCAACGCACGGTTTGGCGTTTACGCAATGAGAAGCCACAAGTTGCCTGACTTCACAATTGGCAGCGGCTATGTGCATCTGTATGTTTATATGTATGTATGTTTGTATGAAATTGTTTTGTTATACGCCCCATCGATGGCGTTGCAAGTTTATTTATACGCATTAAGCGATGCAAAACTAGGGCGCATGGGATGCAATCTTCTGCAAATATTACAAGCAACAACAATATTTATATTTAATATTATTCTATATGTATACATGTATTAATGTGTATGTATGTATGCATGCTTAACTTGTTAGTTTAGCTTATTAGCCAGCTAATTTTCGCATCTATGTTAAGTGTGCAATAGTTGCAGTATAAAAACATAAACGTGTTTACCTAGCTGCTCATAATTGGGGCCAACTATTTAAGCCTGTTGGGTCATTGAACGTTGACTGTACTTTCGCTGAATGTACATTCGAAAATGCGTAGATATTAAAATGAAAAGTTAATGATTAACAAAGAAATATTTTTTTTTTGTAATTTGACCACATATTTTGATTCCACTCTGAACTCCCGATGTTGACTCAAGTGGTTCGATGATCGCTGTCTCAAAAATTCTGACACGTGTAGTAAATATTTTTGCTTTTTAAACAATTTTCTACCAAATAAATGCATAATCAGTGTTGATATATATACATAAATATTATATATATATATATATATATATACCCATGCATGAATCTCATTTTCCTCTAAGAAATATTAATATTTCCATTAGCTTAGTTTTCTTCATATTATCATATTTTTGGACTAGTTGTACTTGTTGTAACAGAAAAATTCTTAAAATTATTTTCATGAATTTGCAATGAACGTTCCTTGTATATTATTTAATTCTCTAAATTATTGTTACGAAACTCCTTAATAATCGAATCTTGCTTGATTTTCAATAATGAACGTAGTAATTATCATTCGATTTTCGATACTTAGCGTTCTCTAGCGACAGTCAGGTCTGCCTAACCGAAACGGAACCCGGTTTTTATCTGGCCAAGAACTGTCAAGCATTTGTACAATTTACTTCAGAGATGTTTTTTGCCACAAAAACAACAACAACAGTATCGACTATTACTCTTAATTGAGGCCAAAGTCTCTTGCGAGTAAGTTGATGTGACAGTTTCAAATCTAAATGTGAATGCTTCTCTAATTGCAAAGTTATATAGCTGATCTCCAGACGCTATCACACTTGAAATACTAATGATAAATCTTTTTATTCACCTTTCAATATGCACGCGCATTACTCTACTGTGTTACTATCATTCTATCGCAAATAATACTGAAGATGAGATGCTTATTGTTTAATTCCACCCCACATTTCTCCAGAATACTACTTAAAATTTTCAAAAGTAGGGTTTTGAACATACCCACGATGATTGAGGAAAGCCCTCACTATGAATCTTTATACCTGATGGCTCTCTCTAGACTTATACTTGAGTTCCATACTGGCCTCATCAGAAACACAATCCTTACTTGTATCCAACCTTCGGAATGAGTCCCAATCTCATACAGTTGTTGTTGTATGACAAATTAAGATTATTTTTTATTCGATAGACTTAAAGAAAAAAATGTGTAGTCAAAAGGAGATAATGGAAGCACTAATAGCCACATCGAACTCGGAGAATACTATTTTTTTCAACGGGCGAATCAAGCGTTGGCCTAAGTGCGTTGCAGTCTGCGGGGGTATTTTGAAGGCGACAAAACTCATTTTCCTGTAACCTGCTGTTCAAAATAGTATTTAGCATTGTTCCTGAAAATGCTTGCTAGAGTAAATTTTGAATCTCTTAGAATTATTAGTTACTTTATCACATGCACCTTGTTTCTTTTCCAAGGTATAAAGTCACAAGAGGGCATATAAGAAATCAATTTTAGAAGCAGGTTAAACCGGTGTTTTTCTCACTACTTATGCATCCATTGTTTGTTTATTTCATTTCGACTTCAATGATTGGCGAGTATTTACATTTTCGTTTAAAATTAACCTGTACATACTGTTTGTATTAGTATGTAGATATGTTTCAGCTTGTTGGACATGAAGTACCATATTAAGTAGAAAAAAATAATAGGTTTGTACTAATGTGCGCTCGCACAGTACTGATATGTAAAAAACACATACGTACTTATATATTAAGCTATTTATTATATATTATTGTATATAATATATATACATATATGCTTATGGAGATACATGGAGATGTAGGTATGGTTATGTGTGTTATATGTTGACCTTGAGCCGCCAATACGAAACCGGCATTAAACGTGTCTTAGCAAATTCTCAGACAGTTAAAAAATTCTAACTACAAAAATTATATTTTTTATATTTTATGTGTATAGATAATAGACTTACATATGTATGTACGTATTTGCCACTAAAAAGCCACATGCTGACAGCCGTTGCCATAAAAATGGAAAATGATGTCTAAATCACAGTTCACATAGCGCAGTAATGTGCTTTCGATCAAAAAATATGTTCGACGAAAAATAAATAGAAATATTTAAAATTGACTTTGAAGTATAAAATTTATTTTTATAAATTCATTTGTAGATACAAACTTATCAACTGTATTATAACTGCGTACATACGTACAAAATATGATGGAAATTACAGTCTTTGGCGAATTAATAGAAACACGCCGGCTTTTAGACGTATATATTTACTTAAACTAAACACATACATATGTATGTAAAAACATGCTCACTTATATTATTATATAAATGTTGTAAGTCTGTTTTTAAAATGTTTTAAAAATATTTGAAGTACCCAGTAAATATATTTACGCGTTTAAAAAATGTATGTAACATGTACATACAAGTATGTATGTGGCGTTGGCGTCAATATGACACTTGTATATGTATGTGTATGTATAGTGTATGTTTGTATCAACTAAGTAGGTTTCATACAACAACGACAATAATGCGTATTCATATTTCAAGTTCAAAACTGGTTTCCGCGCGTTGCTTGGGTGTTGTCTTCAACGGTTAACGCTCCAGTTATTTCCCGGCAGTTGTTATAAATATTTTGATTTTTAACTTTTAATAATATAATTTTATTTTCAATTCAACCATTCTTGGCGACAGTGTGCTGCCTCTCGCAGTTTGTGTTTCCTTTTCCATGCACTGCAGCGAGCCTGGACCGCTTGACGGCCTTCTCATGCGGTAGCTATGAGATATCAGCGCCTTCAGGTCTTCTGCCAACTCCAATCTCGCTGTTGGACGCTGTCGCCAGGAACTGACCGCTTTCGCAACGTAATCAGTTACTCGTATTATTGCCATTGTTGTTGCTATTTTGTTGCACTGAGGCTGCTGTGAGCAAACCTCATGCCGTCCGCTTTTTCATAGAATTGCAGACGCTGCAGTAGGAGTAGGAGCTCGGCGATGGTGGTGGCGAATCTCTACCGTTACCGTTGCCATTGTAGCTGCCGTATGGATGCTGCACCTGCGGATGTATGGGGAAGTGGTTCCAGTGTGGGCACGGCATCTGTGCAGGTGGTGTGATTGGGAAGTGTTGTGGCATCTTGCTTGATTGATTGTTTTGCTCGCTTGTTGGATGCACTCAGTAATAACTGTTTATTCACTTTTCACTTTTGCTGCTGTAGTTTAGAGTACTTGACTAGAACCTTTTGTAAATTTCACTTTCTTTTGCTTTTGTAACTTTTTCTCTAGATTTGCTTTTGCAAGTATTCTGCTCGAAGGCACAATCTTTACTGAGCTCTATCCCAGTGCTGCGCTGGTTATATAGCCGCGTCACTCTCGTCAGCGACATGCAGCCAAATCGTAATGGCTGGCAGTCAGGCAACCGACGCGAAAAATCAACAACACCACACACACATGGACAAATACTTGAGTTAGTCGACGAAAACGCCAACAACCACATGGTTGATGTTTGGCGAGCAACAATCGAAGCGACAGACTTCTGGAGCGCTCTCTTCGCTTATCACTCGTTTGATGAAGACTATTACTGTGCGTTTTGTATTCTGAAGTTAGCACTTCGCTTGTCCTGTGCACCCTACAAATTGAGCTGGCTGAAATGCAGTGAAAGAATATGGCTTTTATCCTACTTTCTTTATACAAAATGTTTACAAGATTCGGCCAATAGTTTTAACATAAATGCGATAATTATAGCTCTTTCCAAGATTTTAGAATATTTGCAGAGTAATTTATATACGATATGTATTAAGGGTCGAACGCAAAATTACTCTAAAGATAAAAAACTATACGTGAATCATGCTTACCCACAATAGTTGTGGAAATAGTTTTTTGAATTTCGAAAAGGTTTTCGAAAGTTGTGAGAATAAATACTTGGATTCACTAATCTACATTTGTTAACTGTCTAACTGTCAGATGAGGTGCTGACATCACATTAGTTTTCAAAGTTGTACGAGAAACGCAGCAAATTACAATACATATGTTCAAGGTACTTTCCTTATGTGATTCTAAATCACTGTACAGTTTTCCTCAGTATTCTTCTATCAATTATTGGTTATTATTCACAAGTGATCAAAGCTTCTCATTATTTGTCTTTCTTAGTGGTTTCTTAAGCGCTTACAACTTTAACTCTGGGTTCGACATTCTCAATCACTTTTCCACATTTCTCAAGACTTTCCTTCAAAACTATGTAAAATTATTAGAATCTGGTCTTCTACCATCCCGCTTCTGCAGCAGGCATCCGTTAAGATTCTCAACTTTACAGCGCGGATGCCGAAGAGCAATGACCTGTTAGAATCCCCACAACTAGAGAGAGGCTAGCCTCTCTGAGGGCAAAGAGCTCAGTGGATATCTTGGGGTTGACCTAGGGGCAAAAGGATCTTACGATAGCGCAACAACCGATAGTATTCCAGCGATGTCCAAGCTCCAGCCAGCTAACCAGTAGTAGAACGCACGAATAAAGCCCAGACCCGTCTCTATTAAACTGATAGCGGGGCTAGGATGTCGTTCCTTGTCAGCTCGTCAAATCTGCAGTTACTTGCGTTTCCGCTGTGGCTTGGCATCCATACTAGGCTTATCACAAAGTGACTCGTTGCCGTTTATAACGAGATTTGGTATTCGAAGTTAAACGAAAAGAACTTCAGTCCATCAAGAATGAAAATATAAATTTTGAGTAGGATAAATAATTCTGAATTTAAAGGCGGTCCTTTTTGGCAGACAACTTTTTTGAATCAATTTTTCCTTTATTCCTAAGGCCGTCTTAAAGTCAGTCAGAAATTTTCCCAGCATTTATAGACGTTTTGTTATGAGTGTTCGCGACCATTTCACCCAATGAAACCGGTTATTTCCGATTGTAGCGTAATTGAAGCGCTCATTAAACTCCACATGTTACTTTCGCCGCTAACTACCAACCACTTTTTCGTCTTTATCGCACTTCTCGGAGCGAGCAAGCCAATGTGTGTGGTGGAATGGTCTTATTTGTTCTTCCGACTTTTGTTTTTATTTTCTCTTTCATAACAGAATAAGCGCACCACTCTATTAGTGAGGAGTGAGCTGAAGTGCTGTACTGGCGATGGTGGTGCAAAGCAGAGCGCCGAAGTTCAGGCGCGTGTGGTAGAGAGTACAGTTTCTAATACTTCAGTAAGACCAAATGTTATATAGTGACGATTGGGGAGCGGTAACGACTTAACACACGCAATTATGTGTTTGAAATACTTATGAAAATTTTGGCTACGAACTTACATACACACGTGTATATATATACTTAATTGTGCATATAGACAGACGTATGTATATACTTGTATGTTTTTATGAACTTTGTTTAGGTGTATACTCAAGTTTCATGTTGATGGTTTGGCATTGTTTGCCTGTTGATAGATTTTATTGATTTCGTCGCTCATCTTATGCTGTTTACTGTTTACTATTTTGGTCGTTTTCGCCGGTAAGCTATAAATATGTACATATGAGCTTTGCATGTGCTTACGGCGTTCATTCACCAATACAATCCATTGTCTACGCCTTAAAGGGGGTCTGTCTGGTAATTTATATATGTATATATGTATACAGATAAGTATAAATATATATCTACATTTAACTCGTATTTACAGTTTGTTTGCATATTTCTTCAACTTGAACGTCTTTCCAACTCTGCAAAAATATAAATACTGCAAATATTTTGACAAATAAAATTGCCGCAAAATCTAAAACAATATTTGTTAATACAATTTCCAGGTCCTTTTTCAACGTTGGCACGTTAGGTTTCTCATTTGTATGGGTTAGAGTTTGCTTGAGTGACGGTTTCGTTGGTCACGTAGACCAAAATTTGTATATATAATTATATATATATATACTACGCAATAGATTTCCACGATACATATTTAACATACATACGCGTACTTATACAAATTTTTGTTAGTAGCTAGAATATAAAAAGGTTACACTGTGGCTGGCAGCCTAGAATTATCTTGCAATGCCATATCTACATATAAGTGCATATATAGAAATCTACACGTGTAGCTCCATAAACTGCGTCAGATTGAATACAATTCGGTATTAAACGCAAACCCTACACTGCTTTAGGTACATATATAAATATTTGTAGACTATCTAACAATAATATTAATTTGATTTCAGAACAAAAAAAGTTTGCAATTTACATGGTTAAAAACCTAAACTTCCATTTTCTTACGATTTAAATACATTTATTAAATTTGTTTAGTATATGAATGCAAAAAAAAGTTAAGAAAAACATTAATTTCGGCTGTATATACCACTCACAGGTGCATTTTTTATAACATAAAAGAATATAAATAGATATATATCTTGATCGGTCAGTTTGAATGGCAGTTATATGCTATAGTGGTCCCATCTAAACAATTTGCTTGGCGATTGTAGCGTTGCAATATAGTACCTTGTCAAATAAAAAAGTTTTCCATGCAGCGACTTGAGTTTCATTAATCAGTTCGTATGGCAGCTATATCCTATAGTCCAATAAATATCGAAGGTTCCGATAAATGACCAACTTCTTGGAAAGAAAATGACGTATGCAAAATTTCAGATCGATATTTCCAAATTTGCGAGACTAGTATTCACGAACGGACATGACTAAATCGACTCAGCTCATTTTCTCTGATCATTTATATATATATATATACTATATATATTTTATAGTCTGCGATATTTCCTTCTGGGTGCTACAAACTTCATGGCAAACTTAATACACGTTGTTTAGCGTATTTATAACAACCAGAAGATCTGTCAGTCCGTCTGTATATATGCAAACTAGTCCCTCAATATCTGAGCTATAAATCTAAAAACTTGCACACATACTTTACTCTCCAACTACCTGCTCATTTGTCGAAAGCGCCGATAATGCTACACTATATTATATAGCTGCCATACAAACTGATCGATCAAAATTAGGTACTTGTATAGAAAACTCTTTTATTTCCCATATAATCTTCACAAAATTTGGTATAGATAGTTTTCCAAGGCAACGCTACAAACTACGAGGAAATTGTTCATATCGGACTACTATAGCATATAACTGCCATACAAACTGACCGAAATTGAGATAAAGATTTTTTTATACCATTGCAGGCTATAAAAAATGCACCTGTGAAGAGTGTTATAGCTTCGATGCAGCCGAAGTTTATGTTTTTTTCTTGTTTTTTTTCTTCTCACTGTTCTACAAAATGAATAACAATTTTGGAAACATAAAGTCTACCTTAAGCCAAACAAAATATACGAGTTTTTGAAAATCCTACAATTTACTACTTTCTGCTAATGACTCAGTCTTTGTTAAATAGAAACACACGTATTAGTTATAATTGTATTGTATTTTTCAAACCAATAATGAAGTGGGGTCCCAAAGAATGCCATCTGATTATCAATCTGTTCAGATACTACAATATATCACTATACTCGAGATAGCATTGCTGCTCAATCGCATTTACTATATAGTATTTAGCTATATTTCGCTTTTATCAAATTTTAATAACTGCAATATTGACATTTATAAGTATATCTGCATAAACAATCAGAATGTAGAGAGGAATGATTTAGCTACGTGTGTAGAAAACGTGATTACTTGAGGACTGAGTTTCATACAAACATATACCCTTCGAGTGTCGAGTATTTTTTAATTAATTTTATTATCTTAAAAATGTATGCAGTAAACAAATTTCGACATACTTAGTTTTATAATTCGCTTGCTTGACATACTGGTAAGAACCGAAAACAAAAAAAATACGTCATTTTTATTTCAGAAATTATTCTTTATCTGAAATTTAAATACATTGGCCTATATACGCAAAAATATTATATATATAATTTAATATGTACATGTGTATGTATAATTATTTTTATATACATTTTGTCGCCAGGTTTTGCAATTATCTTCAAGCATCATTTCAGTCAAAAGCAAAAATATTGATAAGATATTTTGGCACCGTCGCTGTAATGCAAAGGAAGCTTGTTTAAAACGCAAGAAACAAAAAAAAAAGTTAATCGAACACATACAAGCGTACATATGATTGTATGTAAGACCAGTTCCGATGTAAATAACTAGTTCGGTTAACCATCTCATATACTTACAACAGATGTTTTCGGTTTTTATTATTTATTCTTCCACACCATTAAATTAATATAATATTGTGTCTTTATTTCACATTCGTAATCAGTTACCCACTATGAAGGTTGCCAGCTAGAGATAAACTTCAAAACTCATAACTGTTAATTGTGGCTACCATTTTGAGTTCGCTACGCTAAGTCAGCGAAATAAATATATATTATCATTTCATTTGTTTTATGTTTTCACTTGTTTTTGTTTTTGAACTGCGGTTACGCCAAGCGAAATAAATTTTTGTGACTTGAATGCGATATTTGAAACGCAAAAACACACATTGAAAAGTCAAGCACACACACATATATATGTACATATATGCATTTGTGTAGCAAACCACATATCTAACTAAAAATGCAAACAAGCATAAACAAAAGAAATAAACGAAAAGTTAAGACAGAAAACCAAACCAAAACAAAAAGCAAAACTCAAGTAAACTTTTTTATATTTTACTTTTATTTCACCTTTTATGCATGTTTCACTCTTCATTTATACCGCTGGGCGTATATGCTATTCTTTGTCATACATTGGCGCTCTCTAATAGACAGTACTCTAAAAGAGAGTGCACTAACAGCAAAATGAGTAGTAAATCGATTTAGTCATACAATTAACCCTTAGATGGTCTGTTCGTAGAAATTTAAGAAATTGAAAATTTTTGTACAGCATTTCATTGGGGCATAACAACTGAAAAAAATTAGATTTTTTTAACAAAAGTAAAAAAAAAATTAAAAAAAAATTAAATTTTTTATTTATAAAAAATTAGATATATATATTATAAATATATTATAAAAAATTAGATTTTATTTTATAAAAAAAATTTATAGTACATAAGTATGTGTTTATGTACATATTATTTTTTTAAAAAATAAAAAATAAAAATTTAATTTTATAAATAATTAAAAATTTGTAATTTCCTTGTACCTAGGTATGTACATTAATATTATTTATTTTATTTATTTCAATATATTTTTCTATGTTCATCATGTACATGTACATATATCATTGAAACCTAAAAATAATTAAATTGTTTTTTTATCATAATTAAATAAATTTTTTTGAGTTCAATATATATTTTTTCTTTTTATTTCACTAAATTCGAAACTCATTGTTTTATTTTATTTTCGGAATTTTGTCTTGCCTGCACCTCTATGTTTTTTATAAAAGTTTTTAAATTAATTATTATTTATTATAATCTTATTTTGTATTATTTGAATTAATTATACCCCGAAAAGGGTACATTAAGTTTGTCATGAAGTTTGCAACACCCAAAAGGAAATGTCGGAGACCTTATAAAATACATATATGTATTAATGATCAGCATGACCAGCTGAGTCGATTAGCCATGCCTTTCTATCTGTTCGTCTGTCTGTCTGTATATACGCGAACTAGTCCCTCAGTTTTTGAGATATCCATCTGAAATTTTGCACACGTCTTTTTTTCTTCAAGAAGCTGCTCATTTGTCGCAAGCGTCGATATCGCACCACTATAGCATATAGCTGCTATACAAACTGATCGATTAACTCAAGTCCTTGTATGGCAAACTTTTTCATGTGACGAGATATCTTTACGAAATTCGGCATGGATTATTATCCAAGATAGTCCCACAATCTCCGAAAAAACTTTTCAGATCCGACAACTATAGCAAATTGCTGTCATCAAACAAAATCAACATAAAGATCTTTTTGTACCCTTTTAAGCTATAAAAAATCTGTGTATGTATTTGTGAAGGGTATTATGACTTCGGTGGAAATGTATGTAACAGCAGCTAAACGAAGCCGTTTTCTAAATTATTTTCCTACAGCAAAAAAATCAGTGTTTTGCCCTCATTTAAATTATTTTATGTTATTTAATTTATAAATAATTTGGCCAAATTTTAGTTTTGTTGTATTAGTTTAATTATTTGCTCTTAATTAGTAAAATATTCACTTCTCTTACAGTAATGTGGTCCAATTATAATCCATATTGTTATTTTCTTCCACTGCCTAATAGTATGCTACGATTTTCCACGACACTAAAAGTAAAGACTTAAGCAGCGAACTTTTCATCGTAAGATATTAAGCTGCTTACTTCGTATAAAGAAAACAACATACGCGTTTGATTTTTCCATTTTATTACAATTTCTCATTCATGTACTTTATCTGTAAATATATATTTATTTATATATATATATATATATGTATATTCAAATGTGACGAATTATTTAATTTAATTAATTAATTATAATTTATTTAAACAAAACTACAAGTACTATATAAACTATTACATATTATTAATTATCATTTGTTTTAATTAATTATTTCAAATATCTGCAATCATTACAATAATTCTACGTTTACCATACATTTTTATTACAATATAATTGATTTAATATCGTTAAATATTTGAATTTATTTTAAATTAATGCAAAAACATGACATTCATTATACACAACGTCACAATAATTTATTTATTATGCTAAAAAATCTAGTTAACTTAATGTGTCTATCATCGTTATATTTAATTAAATATACGAACATTGAGAGTAGCGTTGTGTGTGTGTGTGTGTAGGTTAGAGAGTATGTATGTTTGTAGGTGTTATATGCCCACAGATTCGAGCATGTATATTCATGTTTTTGCGGATATTTTTGTTGTTTACATACCCATTACAAATGCAATTACAGTTATTTGTATGTATGTATGTATATAATATATATACAATTTATGATTTACATACATTCGCCGAATGCATGTCATGGTTGTGTATGCATGTGGTTAAATTATTTCCTTTCATTAGAGTTGAAATCAAAAATTAATTTAATTTAAATGAATATTGAAATGTGAAAATCAGAATGTGTCTACTCAGTGATTTATAGTTAATTTGCAGTTAAATTTGCTTTAAGAGAGTTGCATTTAGAGAGAATTTGTTTATTTCATGTTTTGTTTTTTTCTAGATTAGAATTTGGAAAATTGAAAACTAATTGTGTTCACTTAGACAATATACATACATACAAGTACATATTAGAGCATATATAAATCTATGTTAGACTAAGTCTAGTTCACGCCGCTGGTATTACATAGAATACTTTGCACAAATGCACTCTATCACTTTCTGTCTCTTTTACGCTCTTTTGTTTAAGGCTTAGCGCCTACTTTGATTTTCTTGCATTGCTTTGCTTTCGAAAGTTCCTTTTGTATATTACTACTTCCCTCATAAAATGTCGGGAAGTTCAGAGTTTTCTGTCACGCTCACCTCACTTTTTAAATACTCTATTCAATTAGCCTATTTTTGGAGATTCTGTTCTACTGACAAATTTTCATGCAATTTACAAATTTTGCATATACACAGTTAATTTACAGTTAATATGCTAATTGTATGTCAAATTTAAGTTTTTAGTATTTTATTAAAATTTTAATTATTTTACTGTATATAACTTGATTTTCTCTTGTTTTCTGTCATGATAAAGTAAATTGCATTACAGTTAAATTAGTCACCTAGATGTACTGTTATAAATCTAATTGTAATTTACTAGTTTTAGTATTCTATAAATCATTGCATTGTTTTTGAAATTTATTTATTTACATATTTGTTACTGTTTTCGATTTTTATACACACCTTTTTTGTAATTTTTAGATGTTAATTTTTTTGTTTGTTTGTTGTGTTCTAATTTGTAACTAGTTTTTAAACTAAAAACAGCAAAGTTAGAAGTTATGCTACAATACATACATTCATATAAGACATTGTACATTTCGTATTAATACCGTTAGTTGCAAAAAGTAACTCTTTAAGCACTATTATACAAAAGACAAATGCGTTCTGTGTTGTTGGAGAACTGCCGTTGAATTAAAAAATTTTTTTTTTTTTACTCTGCTTGAAAATTCGCTTTCTTTCTTCATTTGTTGGCATTCTTTAATTATGTTTTATATAATTTCGTTTTGTAATGCAGTGTTAAAGTAAAGTGCAAAAGAAAGAATACTAATAAGAGTGCGAGTGGGTAGTATGTACTGAGAAAATATATTTTAATGTGACAACAAAAACTTATTTCGGTAAAAAAAAAATTTCATAATAATTCTTCAAATTATTTCAGTATAAAAACAAAATTTAAATTGAAAATTATAAAAAAAATTCAAAGATTTAAATCTTTTAATTAAAAATAGGCAAAACAAATTTTTTTAACAAAATTACAACAAAATTTTTTTCACAAAATATATAAACAAATTTTGAAAAAAAAAATTTTTTTTGATATAGCGTTAAGAAAAAAATTTCATTCCATTAAAAAAAATGTTTGGCTATGTTAATGTTATTCCTATTGTTTAAAAACAAAATTGTTTTACCGAAAAATTTGATCTGAGCTAATGCAAAAATATGATGTTTTTCAAAACTCTTTGTCTTTTTTACCAATATTATATTAAATTATCCGTTTGTTATATTATTTCCATAATTTTGCAAACCTGTCAACATTCTCTCAAGAAAATTTTTAGAGGAAAATAAAAAATGCCTTCGAAATAAAAACCATTTCTTTAATTTAAAAACAGTAAGAATATTTTAAGTACGTGCTTCATATATCTTTCTTATGGTTATTGTTTTGCAATAATTATAGTTATTGGGAAAGTGAAAGTTAAAAAAATACAGAATTAATTTTGAAAATGGCTGCGAGATATAATATTCTGAACATTTTACATAGAGAATATTTATTCTAGTGTTATTAGAAAAATGTGCAGTGTATATTTTTTCAACTCGAATTCGACACTATGCATGCTTAAAGCAGATAAAATATGTATTTTTAAACTTGTTCAAAATAATTGCGTATATTATTGCAATACCACTGTCCAAATCATCAAAAAATATTGTTTTCCAAAACCAAAAAATTTAAATTAAAATATATTAAATATTTTGCAATTAGTTAAAAACATTTTTTTTATATATAATTTCGAAAAATTTTATTTTTTTTAACATTAAAGGTTTGAAATTAAAATAAATTATGGATTTTGAAATTAGTTAAAAAGGCTAAACACATTTGAAATAATTTTTCTAAAAATTTTGTTTTTTAAAAACACAAAGAATTTAAATAAATGGTGTTGAAATTAGTTAAAAAAATTAAAAACATTTTGTTTATATATTTTGACCGACAATATCCCACTGTAAAATGTTTAATTTACTTAAAATTTGTAAATAAATTTTTTCCAAAATTTGAGTATTATGTGATATGAGACTCGGCAATAAATAACCACAAGTTAGTTATCTAGGAAATTTTATTTCTCATGTTGCAAAAATTTTTATATTAAAAATTGCTTAAAAATATTTTTATTTATTTGAAGAAAATCTGTGTATGCATTTTTCAACAACTAAAATAAATTTAATATGTTACTGCAGTAAGAAATTATATAAATTAGTCCAAAAAAAATTTGTATATTTTTAAAATAAGAAAATTTAAAAATAATCGATAATCTAGCCTTTGAAAAATATTTTATGAAATTTTTTTATCAGCTTTTTTTTTCAAAAAATAAGAAAAAATAAAGCCTTTTGGAAAACTTTTTAAGAAAAATTTATTGTGTTTAATTTGTATTAGTATAAAACTAAAACTTTTTCCAAAATGGACAAAGTATCACAAAATAAAGTGATAATTTGGAACATCTGTTTAAAAAGTCATTTTACGTAAGAAAAATTGAAATATATAGTAATTAATATTAGAAAACACGTTTTTGCCGACAAGAAAATAGTTTTTCAAGCTTTTGGAGAACTGCAAATAAAAACAGAAAGCCAAAAATATCGTGATTGTATCAGTTTCCAAATATTATTCTATGCAACAAAAAAAAGTATTGTTGCCGTTTTTGTTTTTAACTCATTTTGTATTAAATATTAGTTCAAGTTTATTTTGTATATAACTACACCGCTTCTGCATGCGTTTACAATTACTGTTACAAAGCTTCATAAGTAAATACAGGAGTTTCTGGCTATCTTCATTTCGTACAATAGTTTCTATATTGGCATTTTCACAGTTTAAATATATAAGTGTGTAAAGAAAAAAATGTCTGAATTGATGAAAATAATTATACATACATGCATGTGTTATTAACTAAAGTTTTGTTTTATTTAGGTGAAGTCTTTTCTCGTCAGTGTGTAAGAAATGCAATTTTGAATTTAGAAAATTTCTTGTGTAATAAAAATTTGTTATATAATTAAGTGCTACAATAATAACTATTACATATAACTTATATAATATAACTGTACAAAATTAAGCGGAGAAAATTAGCAAATGTCAGTTTACAAGTACAATATATGTACATATGTACAAGCATACTATTTTTACGAAAAAACAAAAATATAAAAACAAAATAAAAAAAAAACTCATTAGAACAATCGCTGAGAAATCTTTATACGTTGAAATTCCAACTTCTTTATAAATAATAATTATTATTAATAATTATGCTAAATTACATTTCAATGTGTGTCTAAAAAGCATAATAAAAGTAACTATTTGTCAAACGAAAAAAATTGGTAATTATAAAAACACTAATTACAAATAACTGCAATTTTGTCAAAGACACTCGGCAGACTCAACATATAGTCAGTGAAATTTTCAATATTTTCGAGTCAAGTTTTAACGGTTCTCATCTGCTGCTTGCGTCTGGGCAGGTGGTGCCGCGCGGTAGAATGCATTCGCGCCACGTATGGGCAATGGATGCGCCTCCGTGTTGAATATCCACTCGTCCAGTGGTAGCAGCGAGTCATCGGAGAAGAGCAGATACAAGTACTAAAATACAAAAAAAAAATTCAATAAATTAAAATCTAATTAGTATTTGAAAAAAGGCCAGCAAACCTTAAGTGTTTCCGCCAAGAAGAAGCTCTGCTGCACGTCGTCCTTCTGCGGGTTCTCCTGATAGACATTCTTAATACCACTGTAACCGTGCATTGTACGGCAGTAGGTCTCGAGCGCTTGCACAGCCTCCCAACCCCAGTCGCGGTATTTTTGGTCGTGCGTCAGACGCCATAACACAAAGTAACTCTCAATCGTTTCTGGTCGCAGTATATAGTATTTCTCTTGTGATTTCAAGGCACGCGCTTCGGCGGCATCGCTGAAGCTGTAGTAGAAAAAAGATTTAGCAGACGTTAGTTTGGTCACCATTTAGAGTATTATGCACTTACCGAAAAGCTTCAGGTCCCAATTTGGTTGGCGTTCTTGTGTAGCTCTCGTGGCAGGTATTTGTCAGACCCTTACCAATTTCCATAAATTTATTGGCATATTGGTTTTGTCGCGTGCTGGCAGCTAAGGCATAGAGACCACCTGCATGTGAGAAAAATTTTAATTATATTGCTTGAAGCACATAAATATAAAACTATTTTAATAATTCTTAGAAGAATTAATATAAATGTCGCTTAAAGTTAATTTATATGTTCATTAGGGTGGAGCGAAAAAAAATGCTTTCCTTAAGCGTTACAATACATTTTGAGTCAAAAACCGTCACATTCGGTAATTTTTATATAAATGTAACGAGTTTAAACCCAAAATAATTTTTTCTTGTCCAAAAATTTTTTTTACTAGATGTTAAAAAAAATATTTTTTTGTCCAAAAATTTTATTTTTTTTATAATCTACAGATTATTACAAAAAAATAAAAAATAAAAATTTCGCTCCACCCTAATGTTCATATACTATGTATATGAAGTGAAAAAAGAAACATGCATATACTAACCAAAAAGTTGACAAAAAATTAGTACTAAATTAAATTAATTTTTTTTAATTATACTTTTTTTTAAATTAAATTAAAATGCTTTTTCAATCAATTTCTTATTTAATTTTTTCAATGTTTTTTTTTTTTAAATACATTTTTTTGAGAAATTTTTTAAACAATCAAATTATAGTTTTTTTTTACACATCAACTTAAATTTAGAAGTTTGAAATTAAATTTTTAAACACATTTTTCTTAATGAATTGTTTTAAATTATTTGTATCAAAAATTTTTTGAAAATATTTTTTTTTAAATTAAATTTAAATTTTATTTTTTCTTATTTTATAACTAAAAAAAATTCCTTTCAATTTCTATATTCTATATGGTTATACTTTTTTTCACAATAAAAAACCATTATTTCGATTGTATTATTATTGTTGTTGTAGTAACCTGGCACAAAAAATTATCTAAATATACTCCAAGGAGTGCTATTGAGATCACAATGCTTTGTCGCTTAAAAATCTGTACCCATTTGGATCTTGAAAGAAACGGGTCTAAAAAACCGACAGCGAACCGGATTTATGTACTGCGAAGTACCCTGTTGTTGTAGTAGCGGCAGAAAACATTCCTGAAGTAATTTCGAGAAATGGTGGCGAGCTGACAGTCCTTGGCCGGTTAAAAATCCGGGTCCGTTTCGGTTACTTAGACTGTCGAGGGAGCGAAGTACACTCATTGCAGCCGCATGCTTCCAGATACTATATATATAATTTTTTACTACAACAATTACAAAATAATAATTATTTTCGGGGTAATGAATACATTTCTTGCTCAACCTCAGTTCTTTTGCCACGTCCCAACATAGGGGTTTTAAGTTAATTTTTGATTTTCGATTAAAGTTAGTTATCATCAGATGCTCATCTAAAATTACCAAGGTATATTTTTTTAAACTATTTTAACCCAGTAATGGGTTCTCACCATTTTGAGTTTTTTGAGGAATTTATCGAGAAATAATTTTGATAATTAAATTATCCATTATTATATTCACCTATTATGAGCTACCTTTGATCGTTGGTAATCGAAAATAAAATATCTGACATTAACTTTGATTACCTTGACTGTATTTAAAGGGTATTTAGGTTGTAATATTTTTGGATTAAATTTCCAATTCCAATCACCCAATCTTTAAATATTATAATAATTTAAATTTTTATTTGATATAACCTAAAAATCAGAAATAAAAAATCCCTATTGATATTTTTATGTTTGGTTTTTCAGTTTTTCCTAAATGTAGTTTGGGTGAATGGGAAAGAATCAGACGCTTCGGAAAATTTCTCAAATTTATTATTTTTAGTTTATTATATTTTCTCAATTTTACTGCTCTCGGATTAATCTAGTATTCATATAAATAATAAAGAAATAATTTCAGATAATAGTATACTAAATCTGAAAACATAAAGCAAAAAAGCCCACAATAATTTGTACTCACCCGCAAAGCAAGCCAAGTGATCCATTTTATGTTCCAAATGATCGAACTTCAAATCTGAGACATAAGTTAAACCACCCGAACTTGTGCGTATCATGTGCTCATTAATCGCCACCATAGCTTCGTCGAACATTTCCCGTGCCTCCTCGTCTACTTGACCTGACTGTAGCCAAGCCTTTAGCAGGTACTCATAGAAACTGTCGCCCAAAGCGCCCAGCGACATGTGCACTAAAGTGAAAAAAAAAATTTAATTGATTTCAAGAATCTCTCATCTAACCACGAATCACACTCACTTTGTCCCCACTTGCCCGTCTTGGGGTTTATGAAATTCGGATAAAGACCCTTCGGCTTTTCAATCTCCTTCAAAACTTGTCGTATAGTTTGTACACGCTCTTTATACAAGGGATTTCCCGTTATATCACTCAGATATACGAATTCACAATGCAATGTACCAGCTTCGGATAAAATCGAGCTGCCACCTGAAGCCCAGCCGTAATTTCTACTCGCACCGGTGCGTGTGTTTACCAACGCATATGGTATACCGGTGGGCGTCTGAAAGGCGGGCAACAGCTTGTCAGCGATGTTTTGTGCTTTCTCCTTATATAAAATATCACCGGTAAAAGCGTAGAGTGTCAACAAGCCACCCACAAAGCGTATATTCGTTTCGAATACAGACAAGTCGGCGCTAACGTTGTCCAGCGAAAACTTTCGTTCAATCCAATCGCGTCCCTCTTGGTACTCCTTCTCCAAACCCATTAGATAAAGTGTATCCAGACCATCGACTATGGTGGCGCCCAGATCGTAGATGCCAAAAATACTGCCCGAATGTGGACGTTGACTGAGCGGTCGTAATTCGTTCTTGCCCCAAGCGTAGAGCTTGTAGTTGTCCCAGGCATGTAGCATCATCTGGAAAAGAGAAATATATTTTTAGTAGAAAAAATTTTGAAAAAGGTAGAATTTTAAGTAGAAAATGAGAGAATTCTCGCTGCGGATGTTTTCGAGAGTCAGATGTTAATACAGTATATGAATACAAAAACAAAAAAAAAGATTTTAATGGTTATAGCCTTAAATCTGACGTCGATACGTTGCAAAGCGCGTTGTAAGCTCATAAAGGATGGTCCGCTTAAGAGAGCCTAGCCTCCACAAGTATAAAATGACATTTCTTTTCAAGAAGACATTTCATATATAATTTTTGATCTCAATACGATTAGTAACCTTATTCCACGTTCCAAAGAGTGATAGTCGCACATTCTAAGTACGTGTATCGCCTTTACAACAAAATTTACTAAAAAAATATGTAAATAGTAAATTCAATCAAGCCTCATTATTATAAAATTAAGGATTTTAAGTTTTCAAAACCAAAATAAGATAGTTTCTAAAATGCTTCAATGCTCATGCTAAAAACGGGGACAGTCCGATAAGTACACAATAGTCTTCTATAGCTTAATAATTGACCCAGTAATGCTCCGTTTTTTGGAGCTCTCAAAAGTGGGAAGAGATAACCACATCATTCGACTTCTGAATTTTTTGTCAAATCTGGAGAATTCGGTCGATGGAGCAGTAACATTAGGCTACGTAATTCGACCGGAATGGGTGCATTGTAATGGTGGTGCACTTTTGCTTCGCCAAATGGGGCCAATTTGCATCGAATAGGTCTAATAATTATCACCTGTGCCCTTTTTGTCCTTCTCTAGGTTGTCGTTGTAGATCACACTTTCGGAATCTCAGTAAACTGTGGTCACCCCTTTTCCAACCAATAGGACAGTTTTCGTCTTCGTCGGAGACGACTCGCTGGTTGGGCTATTTCTTGGTCTCTGCTGGTACGTACCAGCGGAGGTATGTTTCATCGACGATCACAAAACGACGCAGTAAATTTCTCAGATTACGCTTGATTAGCGTCAAGCCATAGTGCTAAATGGTCTCACAGTTGCGCTTGGTGTCCGTGGTGGGGAATATGCGGCAACTATGTCACCACCAACTCTCTCATAACAAATATTTCATAAAGAATATGCTTCACGCGTTCTTTTGAGTATCTTACTGTCTCAGCTATATCGAACACCTTGAACTGTTGGACTTCTAATTTGAGATTCTATACTTTTGTCCCATTACGCATTGTTGTAGCCAGTTGTGGTACACTCTCAAAAAATTTTGAAAGTCGACATCAAGTAAGAAGTGTTAATGTGCATCACGTCCAAGCGCGCTCCTTGATTTCACTGCGCGGTTTCCCATGCAAAAACTTGTTTGAAATCAGCAACCGATTTTGCTCTTTTTCCTATTCGGGCACAAGTGAAGCATTCAAGAAACAACAAAAGATGTTGTTTATTTTTGTAAAAACAATATAAAAAACCAAATTCATGGTAAATATTTTTAAGTTAACGAATCTATGGAAAATATTTGCAGAGAAAATTACAAATTAATTCCAAGAAAAAGGGAATTACATTTGTTGACAGCAGAGAGCGCAACTATAGGCAAATTGAACCGTCAATCAAGGAGACCAAAACAAGCTTTTCGTGGAATTAAAGAAAACGAAGTAAAGGACAAAAAGCGTGCAAAAAAAGTATTACTACATTCAATAGAAACAAACCTAATAAATAAGCAACAAAAATTAATTAACTGAAAAATATTGCGTATACGCCACGTACAGCTATCAAGTGGCCTCTAAAGTTAAGTGCTAGATCTTGTTTACCAATGAACCTAATTATTTTCATTGCTCAATAAAATTGCAAAATTTTAATTGCAGCATGAATAAGAAGTGCAACAACAAAGATTTACAACAACAACAACACATAAGTGAGTGCAAATAGGTGTGTGTGCATGCATAAATCTTCTAGCTAATTTTTCAATCACCGAGGCCGTGCGGCATGCATGGCGAACAAAACACAGTAGCGTGCATAGAAATGCATATGAGAATTTTTGTAAATAAGTGTGTGTGTGTGTGTGTGTGTGTAATTGCATGGGTTCGCTTTTGCGTGACGCAAGAGTATCTGATTACACAGTAGCGATTACAAAGCATCCTATATGTTTATTTCCATCAGCCGTAGCAATATTTCTATGCACCGGACTAATAGCAATTAATGCCAAATGATGCGTCACAATAACGCCAACAAAAGCAACAACAATAAAGGTTAAGGCATTGTATTGCATTGGCTACACACCCCATAACATGTGAGCGTGTAAGCGTCTGGAGAATTGCTTATAAATTTCAATTAAGTTCACAAACTGACAATTTACAAACATATTTAATGCGCATGCACACACTCATATGTTAGAATGTGTGTACGTGTACCGTATGCATATGAAAACTAGGAAGGTTATGGACCGTTGGAGTGTTGGCACAGCGGTGCCTGCAATGGCAACAAATCAAATAAATTGCAAATATTGTATGAACTTGAACTGCGCTCAGAGACACAGTCGGCCAAAGAAATTATGATGTATCTGTGAAATATGCGGATTAAATTTGATTTAAGCCTTGCTTATAACAACAGCCTTAATTGTGTGTTTTCTATCATTTTTTTGGTTCTCTCTTTTAAGCATGTCAATCTAGATTTTCAACTGAGTTTTTTATTTTTATTGTTGGAAAAAAATTTCTAATATATCGATTATAATGCAACCCAAATACTATCGAAGTATTACATTTCTGAAGTTGGTTTGTTTTGTTGCATGTGTGAAGTGTATTGAGCCTATCACTAATCTGTTAAGAGGGTTTCGAGCACGTTTTTGATCTTAGTTTCGTCAAAGTGGCTTAGTTAAGAAAGTAAAGCTGATATTATTCTGCTACTAATTAGAGAGAGATTAACTTGCTGGCAAGAAGGAGCTGGCTAGAATTCCTGCGGTGTACTCTCGACTGTCAAGACCCTTTAATGATACTTCGTTACGAGTTTTAATATAATTATAATTTTTGTTTTATTTATTATTGTCTTTAATAATGTAAAATATGTAAGTTGTACCCCGGCGGAGATCTTGTACTGCGAATTGAAATAATTAGCAATCAAACTTCATCCTATCTATATAAAATTTCAATAGTTAATTGCTCTTCGAAATTTGAGTGTAAGCGAAGTTTGGACCAATGTACATTCTACCTTTTAATCAAATTTTATTCAGACTAACCAAAAAACTACATTTAAACGTGTTTTAATACAAAGTTTTATTATCGCCTTTAAAATAGGCTTCTGGGCCAATAATAGCATCCAACATTTAAACCAAATTCCATAATTAGCTCGATTCAGTGCTTCAGCCATTTTTGGTTTTTTCGATTTCGCCTTATATTTGAAGCGCAGTTTTGACAGTTTCGACGTCATATTTATAAACCTACCAGCAATGTTGCATTTGATGAATGGGCCGTAGGCTTCTTAGCTACTTTGCCAAGCTTCTTTTTTGGGACCTCTTTTCGACGTCGTTTTTGGCAAAAAATTCAGCTGTTTTAGCACGAGTCTAGAATTGACACACTTCACTCCCAAATCAATAAGCAAAATGTGTTTACTCGATCCTGTTGAGTGTGCTATCTATCTGATGCCAACACGACAGTTTTCAAGCAATATTTCTATAACTTTTTCGGAGTCGTCGTTATTAACAGAGGTGGATAGATGACTCGCTTGGCACATGTTTTCGATGACTCCATGTGCTTTACTGAATGCTTTATTCCATTCAAATAATTGTGTTTGTGATATTACATAGTACACTGCCCAACACTTCCGTCCAAAAAAATTCATTTGGAAAAACAAAATTTTAAGCAAACTTTTATCCAAATTGGTTTGTTTAGCTCGGGTAAGATGAACTTTCTGGGATGTTATTTCTTTCAAATAAGTGTAAATGTAGATCTGGAAAGCGTAAAGTTTGAAGTAATTTTTTGAACTCTGGTCTAGAGCTGTTGCTGGTCTCTTTTTTAAACTATGCAACATCTCTACCAAAACCTTTTGTGATGAAACTTTTTCCTCTTCTATAAAATTAAGACAATCTCAATAGTTGGCTATAAAGCGAGCACCATATATAGGCTTTGAAAAATTAGAGTGAATAACATTCAAACAACAAACACAGTTTTGATTTTCATTTTAACCGGGCATACCCTTAACTACTGGATGGTATTTTTAGAAATTTACGTGGATTTATCTGACCACTTTTTACTTTATTCCTCCACTTTTTAAGATTTATATGAGCTGGCGCTTATTGAACTCATCGTATAGCACTCGTTATTGAGTTTACAGATTTACATATATCAGTAGCTCAACGTAAACCGATGCAATAAATAATTTAGTTATCGCTTTTAATTTTCTTCTTTCCCATTTTTTTTTATATTTTTGACATTTTTTTGAATCGCAACTATTTTTCATTAAACTCAGTTTTCGTAATTTTTAACGACATTTAAGTTCATATAATAAAGTGTAAATTTGTTTAAACGCAATCACAACACGCACCTTTTGTCGTCGGCACGGTCCATTGGGCATGAAAACATTGCGTTTTACAAATTGTTGCAAAGCTTCGTTTTTGTTGAGCGCAAATTTTGGTTACGAAAAAGCACGCTACAAATTAAACAAAACAATAACAATAAAGCAGAGATAAACCTAAACAACGCTGTATATACATACATACATACAAACAATGTAAAGGCCAAACAATGCCGGCGGAGAATGCAACGCTATCACGCCGAAATATCTAAAAATACAAAAAGAACAATAAATGGCTGCCTCGAATCCCTTTTACAATGCAAAATAATCGTAAGCGCCAAGCGGCGTTTGGTTTTTTTTCTGCGTCAAAGTATTCATGAAAGCAGTGGGATGACGCGCTCCCGTTCATATCACAATCAATTTACGGGATTTTCTTTGTTTTCGCTATTTCATTTTATTTTTCTTTTCGCTTGACAGCATTTTTACGGCGTTCGGTGCTCGCTCATTCCAGCTTGAAAAGTCAAC